AAAGTGACTAAATTAGTAGACCAGTGAAATGCTGTGGACATAGTATATTTAGATTTCAGTAAGGTATTTGACAAAGCAGACCACAATCTGCTGCTTAGTAAGCTACAAAAAGGTGGGATAGATGACATCACTACCAGATGGATCTATAGCTCGTTGGCAAATCGTACCATTAGTAGTCCTCAATGGTACTACATCCACATGGAGAGAAGTAAGCAGTGGGGTACCACAAGGCTCCATCTTAGGCCCAGTATTCTTTAATATCTCCATAAAAGACTTAGATGAGGGAATAGAAGGGGAACTCATCAAATTTGCAGGTGACACTAAACTGGCAAGAACAGCCAACACCCCAGAAGACAAGCTTGGGATTAAAAAAGATCTTGAACAATGGGCCCTATCCAACAAAATGAATTTTAATGTGGAGAAAAGCAAAGTTTTACATTTAGGCAGGGAAAATCAAAGGTATAAGTACAGATTAGGTGAGACCTGGCTTAAAACAGTAACTGTGAGAGGGACTTTGGAGTCCTAGTGGACGATCACTTGACCATGAGCCAGCAGTGTGCAGCAACAGCCAAAAAAGCTAATACAATCCTGAGTTGCATAAACAGAGGCATAGAATCAAGATCATGTGAAGTATTAGTACCACTTTAGAAAACCCTAGTACAGTGGTGGCGAACCTATGGCACGCATGCCAGAGGCGGCACTCAGAGCCCTCTGTGGGCACACGCTCCATGCCCCAGAGATGGCAACTGTCCCTCTTCAACCAATCACCCACTAACTCACTGAGGTCCCACATGGCCAGATGCATCCCAGCATGGCTGGTTTCCCATCCCTCCGTCCCATCCCTCCTGGCCTCACATGCTCTCCTTTTCCTGGGCACAACCCACTGCATCGCCTCTTCAGCTGTCAGCTGAAGAGGTGGCTTCTCTGAACTTCTGGCAGCGGGCTGCGGAGCCCCAGAGTGTGCCGGTTAAGGGGACAGCAGGCTGTGGCTGCTGACGAACACTGTCAGCCCGTGCGCTTGCTGGCCTGTGTGCAGGGGCCAATGGTGTCAGGCAGCAGCCGCCCCGGCCTCTGCCTCACCTTGCCCTGTGACAATGGCACCCCCGCCCTGCCTCACCTTGCCTCCTGCCCACCATCCCACCTGCCAGAGACCCTCTGGATCTCCCCCAACCCTGCCCATCCCCCAAAGGCGTCCCTTCCCATGAGCAACATTGAGGTGACCATACCCATCTTGGCCACACCCACTCTGTCTGCCATGACCACTAGTCACGCCCACCCAGTGGGCCACACCCACCTGGCACCCAGCGATAAATAAGTGGGTTTTGGGTTGCAGTTTGGGCACTCGGTCTCTAAAAGGTTCGCCATCACTGCCCTAGTAAGACCAGACCTGGATTACTGCAACCAGTTTTGGTCATTATACAATAAAAAAGATGTTGAGAGTTTGGAAAAAATTCAGCGAAGAGCAACTAAGATTATCAAAGGCCTGGAGACTAAAACATATGAAGAATGGGTGCAGGACTTGGGTCTGGCAAGTCTAAAGGAAAGAAGATATAGGGGTGACATGATAGCAATATTCCAGTATCTGAGGAGCTGCCACAAAGAAGAGGGAAGTCATGTTATTCACCAAAGCACCAGAAGGCAGGACAAGAAACAATGGTTGGAAACTTACCAAAGAAAGAAGCAACCTGGAATTAAGGAGAAACTTCCTAACAGTGAGGACAGTTAACCAGTGGAACAGCTTCAGAAATCGTGGGCGCTCCACCACTGAAGGTTTTTAAGAAAAGATTAGACAGTCACTTGTCTGAAATGTTATAGGTTCTTCTATTCTATATTCTATTCTATTCTTATATGAGCATGAGTAAAATCCTCCTCTTCAATGATGAATTTTCTTGGAAAACCATTTTCTTTGCCTAAGATTATAAAATGGGGGTGGGAGGACATTAATTTTGACCAGTTTTCATGACTGCAGCAGTAAGGATTATTGAGATGTTTTAAATCCCATCATTATTACTTTCAAAGATAAAGTGGTGAACATATCTAATACTCCTTCCTCTTCCTATTTTCCCCATAACAACATCCCTGGAAGGTGAAGTGAATCACCCAGTCAGCTTTCATGCCTAAGGCTAAACCAGTTTCCTGGTTTCTAGCCTAATGTTTTAATCACTACGGTAGACAAAGTGGCTCTCTTTGAATGAAACTTTGAATGAAATGTATTATAATACCTTCATTTCAATGCTACAAAATATTGAGGATAATTCTTATTGTGTAATTTAACATCATACTTTGTGTGAATATTATACAAACTGATTTCAGTTGTATGGACTGTGATTATATCAATTCTCCTATTCAACAGGATGACAACTTCAGTGGATGGCACACAACAGACTCTTTAAGGTCAAACTAAGAGTATTGATGTTTTAAATTTATTAGATTTTATTTAATGATTTATCTCTGTTGATGGATGAATGCACAACCACCAATCCTAGATTGGTGCAAATGTGGAAGGCCCCTGAATTTTACTTTTGTTGTGTAGGCTAGGTATGTTTTAACTTTATGAAATTAGTGTTAGTTGACAGGATGATTTTACCAAGGCAACACAAAATTGAAGACAACTAGATTCTTGTTTTATTCAAGCCCTTCCTTGATGGAACATATTTCACCTTTTGTCCAAGCTTCTAGAAAAATTGTAACTGTAGACAGTCCACATCTAGTTCTTTGATAATAGCCTGCCTAGCCATAAATTGGTCTGGGATTGCAACTCATTCCCATTTCTGAAACTTAATTTAGGAAGCTGGAACTTCATTCTTGCTGGGAGGATTCTTGCTGTATACTTTTAAAAAGCCCATCCCCCTCAAAGCTATTTCTTTCCACTATTCTTCAAGAGAAATTATTGGAGCCCAATTGCTATATACAGCCAAAACCACTTTTATCCCTCCTATCCATTTTTTAAAATTAGCAAAATAGTCTTTTAAATCTTCAGCATGAGTGTAGCACAATCTCTCATAACATCTTATACTGAAATATTTCCTTGCTGTTTGGCCACAAGAACCACTTGCTTGAATCCACAACATTTTCAAAGCAATCAATAATTGTTTCTGGGTGCAATTTGACTGATCCTACGAAAAATTCGCTGGTGGATTTCCTGCACTACCCAATATCAATTCTATTATTACAAGCTCACCAGCCATCCCAAAGGGTTTGTCTGAGTTACATAAATCCAATGAGTAGATCCAATTGCCTTCCTCCCCTACCTTTCCCACCAAGGAATTTTGATAGGCATATACCAAAATCCTCTTCAAATTTTCCCTTTTCAGTGTCCTGTATCATGCACAACCTTGTAGAAGTTTTTGAATTGGGGCAGGGCAAGGTGTCATTTGTTTAGCCATTGGACAGTACAAATTTGTTTTGAATTCAGGCTTTGCTTAAGGCAGAACACTGGGCTACATATATCCAAAGCCCCTCAAGGAATTGAAAGGTGCCTGATTTGTGCCAGAATATGCCTAGGTTTTTGGGGGGGCGGGAGGGAGGGAGGTTCACAAACAAATCCCAGGCAGCAATTTTGGGAGTGGCATGCCCTTGCTTTCTTACTAGAGCTGAGGAGAGTAACTGGCTCAAAGTCACTCAGCTGGTTTCACACATAAGGTAGGACTAGAACTCAGTTTTCCCATTTTCCAGCCTGATGCCTTAATCCACACATCAAACCAACTCTCTAAAGTATAATATAGTATCTGTAGTATATTCATTTTGTAAATTTTATTTAAGAAGATTCAAGCATTTTTACTTTTAAAAAAGGAGCAACTATAACCATCAATTTTTATATAAAATGGCATAGCTTACAGCAATTTTCAGTAAAAACCAAGGCAAGAACAGCCTGGATAGATGAGAATGAGTATTCATTTAGATCAGCATTGTATTTCAAATTGCAAGCCAGATGGTACTTAGAAATCCATAAATAGCATGTGAATAAAATAATTCCTCCACTTTCCTAACCAACTGTTACTTGTTTGAGATGGAATCAATTAATATCCAATAAGAATCCTAAACAGTACTATCATGGAAGAGGGAAAACATATAAAGGAGCATATTCTATTTGTCACTGGGTCAGTAGAGTAATGATAATATTAGGCCCTAAATTTAATGATCTTATTCCAGTTTGTTTTTCTCATTTGAAAATAGACCCTTTTGTTGCAGAAAGAATAAATACTAAAATGAGCACTTTTCATTATAGAATAATCAAACATAAATATTGGAAGAACATCTACTCCAATCCTTTGCCCAGTGAAGGAACCCAATACTACAGTATTTCCAACTGACAATAATACAACCTGGGTTTAAACATCTTCAGGAAAAGAAAATTCCAGCATCTCCCCCAAATAACCCCCACTGTTACTATTTTCTTGTAATTTAAAGCCAATGTTTCTTGGTTTTCTTGGAATAACTCTGAACATTTATATCCCATCTTCAATATGACAATCTTCCAGAAACTTGAAGATGGCTACTAGGTTTCTCCGGTTTTCTTGTTTCCAAGTTGAATATACATAGCATCTTGAACTGTTCATCGTATATTTTTCGTCCCATGCTCCTTAGCACTGTAATCATTCTGTTTTGGACCCACTCCAATATGTACACCCAGCTCTTTCATATGAAACATTTCTAAAAATAAGAAAATATACTGAGGGAACAGTTACACTTCCATCATGACTCTTGTCAGCTCATAGGCTATACCTGTGTCCATTCTGTTTTCTGGGTTATCATTGTAGGTATTGGTCAGTGCAGGAATCTGGACTTCAAGCTACCCCATTTCATCTATTTTGTTTTTAATTTGTAAGAAGTTGGGAAGCCATCTTTCTTTAGTGAATGAAATGACATCAATTCTGGCCTTTTTCCTCTAAATCATTTTCTTAATTTTCATTGTTGGATCAAGACATACTTTTTGGTATTTGCTTTCCCATCCCACCCAACACCAAGAGAGACAATAGATATTTGAAAGAGCTGCTTACCACCAGAATGGCATTAAAATGGTCACTCTTCACCTTCTGTACTTGAATGCAGGATGCTGGCACTTGCAATAATCCCGCCCCCTTGGAAAGGTTTCTGGCATCTCTGTTGGACATCAAGTTGTTATTGCTAGTCCCTACACCTAGGGCTGCCCTATATAAATAGGTGTGCGTAAGCTTCCCCATCCCTGCTATCTCAACCATCTCTGGGGTAAAATGAGAGCTTGGGAGCATGCGCACATTGTACCGGTACTTTTCATACTCATCCGTGGAATAACAACAATTGCAAGAGGGGTTAGTCCTACAGTGGAAAAGTCGAATAGCAAAAAGGAAAATGATAAATCCAAAAAAGACAAGGGAAAGGCAGCCCAGAGCAATGATCAAGTAGAAGTTCAAGCTGGACAGCTGCTGCCCATGTGTTTCCAGGCTGTCATCAAAGTCTGGGAGTGCTTGTGGGAGAGTGTCAGCTAGTAGGATGCCCAGAGTTACAGTAGAGGAGAGGGGAGGATCCCCATTGTCTGTCACCAAGATCGCCACTTTGTGCTTGATGGGGTCACTAGATCTCATTGAACGACTAGTCCTAAGTTCCCCAGAATTTGGTGAAACCTGAAATAGGCTTGTGTCAGAAGAGTGCAGAAGGTGATAAGAAAGCCAAGCATTCTGCCCACTGTCTGGGTCATGGGCCACCACCTTGGTCACTAAATAGTTGGCATCTGCCAAGCGTGGCACAATTTCAACCGCCACTGAAGCATTTCTCACATCTGGATACAAGATGACTGGGGCATTGTCATTTTGGTCTAAGATAGTAATACTGGCAATAAAAGTGGCAGTCAGAATTGGGAAGCCATTGTCCTTTGCCTCTACTTGGAAATGAAAATTTTGGAGTTGCTCAAAGTCAAAAGTGTCTTTTGCATAGATGATTCCATTGTCTGCATCAATGGCTAAATATCTGGATAAGGAGCTGCCCTGGATGTCAATGTCCCTGAGAAAGTAAGATACCCGACCATTCTCCCCGAGGTCTGGATCAGAGGCCAACATCTGGAAAACAGATGCCCCAGGCTTATTGTTCTCTGTTATGTAAATTTCACGGATCTGGTTGAGGAATTTGGGAGGATTGTCATTCACATCCGCAATCTGCACCCACAGTGCTTTCTGAATGGCAAAGGGAGGGGAACCCAGATCAGAGGCAGTGACCGTAATGTTGTATTCACTGACCTGTTCTCGATCAAGAAGATCACTTGTGATCAGGCTGTAGTAATCATCAAAAGAGGACCTGAGTTGGAAGGGGATGTCAACAGGAACCTTACAAATGATTTTCCCATTCTCACCAGGATCTTCATCAGTAATACTCAAAAGAGCCACCACTGTGCCCAACAAAGAATCCTCTGGGATGGGGCTGGACAGTGAAGTGAGTGTAATTTCTGGGGCATTGTTGTTCACATCAGTAATTTCCACCAATAGTTTGGCTACACTGGACATGCCGAAGACTCCTTTATCCCTTGCCTCAATGAACATCTCGAGCAGGGGCTTCTGGACACGTAAAGCACCGTTGACTTTGATCTCCCCATTCTGGGAGTTGATGCTGAACATCTTCTGTAGCTCAGGAGATGTGCTGTTGCTAAACGAGTAGAAGACCTCTCCATTTTGACCTTCATCTAAGTCTGTGGCTTGCACCCTGGTGACCAGAGTACCTCTAGGAGAGTTTTCCAACACGTTGGCTCTGTAGACAGAATGCTCAAAAGTAGGGGCATTGTCATTTGTGTCCAGGACGGTTACTACAATCTGGGCGGCTCCAGACCTCTGGGGGCTCCCTCCATCTTTAGCTGTGATAGTAAGCCTGTGAACGGCCTGCTGCTCCCGATCCAAGGACTTTTCTAGTACCAGTTCAGGATATCGGCTCCCATCCCCGCGAGTCTGCATTTCGAGTCTGAAATGCTGGTTGGGACTTAGAATGTAGCTCTGGACGCTGTTAATGCCTTCGTCGAGATCGTGGGCAACCGGGAGAGTAAACCGGACTCCCGGAGCCAGGAACTCTGCGACATTCACATGATATTCCTCCAGCAGAAAAGTAGGAGCGTGATCGTTCACATCCAATATTTTAAACTGCAGTTTATAAAGTTCCAGGGGGGTTTCTAACACGAGTTCGTAATTCAGAGAGCAGGTAGGTTCTTGTGCACAGATCTCTTCCCTGTCGACGGGCTCGTTAACAGACAAAGCTCCGGTGCTCGCATTGAGGTTGAAATACTGCTTACTTGAACCGGTGATCATGCGGAATCTGCGGGAGGGCAGCCGAGTCGCATCAATGCCCAAATCCTGTGCTAGGTTCCCGACGGGAGCGCCGCGCTCAGTTTCTTCGGCGATGGAGTACTCTACTTGTCCACGCACGGTGTAGAAAATAAGGCAGCACACCATTAAATAGACCCGCATTCTTTTTCCCTGGCTTCCTTCCCGCTCACCTCCCTGCAGATCGAGTCACTCGTAACATAATCCCCCGTTTTCAACAAAGAGCTGAAGTAAGCGATGCCGCAGCCGACGGGAGAAAAGGCCAAGCCAGGAAGCCCGTTTGCTTAAACGCACGGGGAAAGCACGGGCTCACGTAGGCGCCGGCCGAAGACATGGCTCACCCTTGGCCCACCCGTGCTGAGCCGGGTCGGACTAGTCCTCCGCCAAGGCAGCCGCCAGCAAGAGATGAGATCATGTGCAAAGAGAAAGCCCTCGCGTACCGGAGCCTGCACCACCCTGGGCCACAGCGCCGCTTAGAGGCCTCTTCCACAGCGGCGAGATCCGTAGCCCTTCCTCCTGTATCACGAGGTCTCCAGGAAAAGGAGAGACACAGAGCCGAGCAAGGCGAGCGGAATCGCCGAATCTGCAAAATCATGGGCTGCGGGAGAGAGCGTCCTTCTCCGTTATTGATCGAAAATGGAGCCGTGTTAGAAAAGGAAAACATTTGTCCGACTGTGGGGACCTGGTTTCTTCTCCAGCTGGAAAATGGCCAGCCAAACCAGGCGGAACGGCGTGTAAAAAGGGACGCTTATCCCGAAGGAGCAGTGGGTCGAAAGAAAGCCAAGATCAGCAAGAGCCTTCTGAGGGGGCTTCCTTCAGAAAAGCTGACTGAAGAAATAACGGAATTAGGTGGGGTTTTTCTTTTTATGAAGAAAACTACTGTCTGCGGCATTTAGTTGACGCCGAAGATAATATACGTTAAGCCTGAAAGTCAAAAAGGATCATAAGAAATAATGGCAGCTGGGAAAGATAGTCCAGACTCCAGTATTTCCAGACACTGGAGATTTTCAAAAATGAACTGGACAACCATTTGACTGGGATGGCATAAGGCAATCATGCCTTGAGCTGGCGGTTGGACAGAAGATCTCTGAAATCCCTTCCAGCCCAATGATTCTGTAATTTTATGAGTCCACATTCATAAGCACATCCAACCCACATCCAATCGCAATCTATCGTTCTTATAACTTAAAATACCTTATTCTATATCCTACCAAACAGAATTCCTGGCTGAGGAATTCTGGGAGTTGAAGTCCACAAATCATAAAAGGGCCAAGTATGAAGACCCCTGAAACAGAACAAGTCTTAGGGTCTTTTTCCAATCCCACTTAACACAGCATAATCACGCTCCTGCAAAGGGTGGGGTTTTTTTTCCTGCTGTCATGAAACTCCCTTACTTGCTCTTCCAGATGCGCTTACACACAAAAAAACAACAAAAGAACCCCTTGGCACAGGACCAGAGCAACTCATCAGTGCAGTGCATTATCATTGATAAAAATTTCAGCTCCATCCCATGCTACGGAGAGTGAGATGGGGAATATTTTCCAGCTGGCTGTTGAGTTTAGTATGAGGAAAGTGAAACAAAGGCAAAGGAATTCACAAAACTCTGTCGTTAATATGCCCTGCATAGGGCAAAGAACAATACCTTTTGTTGGTTTATGCCTAGGAAAAGATAGGGATTGCCAGTGGAGTAGTGAATATTATGCTGATACAATATTCTGCCAGCTCAAAGTTAACACTTTTCAACCAATTCATGAGAAGAGTCCTTAATCTTAATAATAATGATAATAATAATAATAATAGTAAAGTTGGAAGGGACCTTGGAGGTCATCTAGTCCAACCCCCTGCTCAGGCAGGAAACCCTACACCATTTCGGACAAATGGCTGTCCAGTCTCTTCTTAAAAACTTCCAGTGTTGGAGCATTTACTGCTTCTGGAGGCAGGCTGTTCCACTGATTAATTGTTCTCACTGTCAGGAAGTTTCTCCTTAGTTCTAGGTTGCTTCTCTCCTTGATTAGTTTCCACCCGTTGCTTCTTGTCCTGCCTTCAGGTGCTTTGGAAAATAGCTTGATTCCCTCTTCTTTATGGCAGCCCCTGAGATAATGGAATACTGCTATCATGTCCCCCCTTGTCCTCCTCGTTAAACTAGACATACCCAATTCTAGCAACCGTTCCTTATATGTTTTAGCCTCCAGTCCCCTAATCATCTTTGTTGCTCTTCTCTGTACTCTTTCTAGAGTCTCACATCTTTTTTACATCGTGGTGACCAAAACTGGATGCAGTATTCCAAGTGTGGCCTTACCAAGGCATTGTAGAGTAGCATTAATACTTCACGTGATCTTGATTCTATCCCTCTGTTAATGCAGCCTAGCACTGTGTTGGCCTTTTTGGCAGCTGCAGCACACTGCTGGCTCATATTTAGGTGATTGTCTACTAGGACTCCAAGGTCCCTCTCACAGTTACTACTATTGAGCATGGTGCCACCTATGCTGTACTTGTGCATTTGGTTTTTCTTGCCTAAATGTGCCTAAAAACCTTCTAGGTGACATTGTCACTTGTACTTGAAGACCATCATTCTGTGTCCTGCACTCTGAAATAGGTCATTGAATTGAACAAGTATCTCATCTCAAGATTAAACATTCCATTTCCCCAAGTATCCTCACAGCAACTGGTTGCAAAATTGCTGACACACTATCATCTTACTTTCACAGTTTGCAAGAGATTTTAAATGCAGGAAGAATGGATATTTGTGACAGAGGTCTTCCTCTTTTAACTATCACTAAGCTTTTTTTGTTGTTGTTGTTTTACAAATCAAACAAGTGCACATATAATGTATCAGAAACAAGAACAGGAGGGGCAGGTGCTAACCATTTATATTACTTCCCTTTATTTGTGCTGCTTCAGAATTAGTAGTTGATTGGGAGCACTGACTAAATGATTTTTTTTTTTGCATTTTCCTATTGGATAGCTCAATAGAACATTGTTTGATTCATATTTCCAGATTGACAGGAATGAAGATGATTGTAGTTCAGTTTTAATTTGATTTTGAGGAACTGAGACTGTAAGTAATAGTGTGTGGATGTATCTTTACTTTCCAGTTTACCTTTTTTCACTCAGTTTACCTTAATTCCTCTCAATATGAAATCCCTAGAAATGGCCACAATATTTGAAATGATCTAATTAATGGAAAATAGTGTAGAATTATTGCTTCCATAAGTTGGAAATCGTATTTCTTTTAATGGTGCCTAAAACTATATTTGTCTTCTTCATAGCTACAGTGTGTTATGACTCATCTTACAATAAATTACAATCCCAAAAAGTTTTTCACGTATGCAGGTATTCTCCTGTATTTCTGCATTCTCTTAGTTATTAATTTATATTTGTCTCTAAAAAATTTCATTCTCTTACTCTATCTCACCTTCTTAAACTTAATTGTAGATTAAATAAATCAAATCAAATACAAAAAATGGAAAGAGGCGCACATAACTAAGGCTGATTATCAGCAGACAGCCAGAACATGCAAAGATGAAGTCAGGAAAGCAAAGGCTCAGAACGAACAAAGACTTGCAACAGAAATCAAGGATAATAAAAAAAAAAGTTTCTTCCAACATATTAACAAGAAAAAAGTCAAGGAAACTGTAGATCCACTAAAGAGAGAAGATGGCAAGGAAGTAACAGGCAGTAGAGAAAAAGCAGAACTGCTTAACTCATTCTTTGCATCAGTCTTCACACAAAAAGAAACTATAGCCCAACATATCAAAAAACCACTGCAAAAGACAAAACTAGAAACAAAAATTAAAATAAGCAAGAAAATCCGACTTTGACGAATATAAATCACCGGGACCTGACAGATTACATCCCAGAGTTCTGAAGGAGCCCGGCAGATGTTATCTCAGAACCATTGCACCACATCTTTCATAAATACTGGAGCACCGGGAAAGTACCTAAGGATTGGAAAAGGGCTGATGTTCCCATCTTCAAGAAAGGGAAAAAAACGGACCCAGGAAACTATAGTACAATCAGTTTAATATCAATACCTGGGAAGATCCTAAAAAGATAATAAAAAAATAGATCTGCAAACAATTAGAACAAACAAAGTTATAACTAGTAGCCAGCACAGATTTCTTAAAAACAGATCATGCCAAACCAATCTTATTTCATTCTTTAAGAAACTGATTAAACTAGTAGACCAGCGAAATGCTGTGGACGTACCGTATATTCCGGCGTATAAGACGACTTTTGAGAGCGATGAAACAGCCTCCGAACTCGGGGGTCGTCTTATACGCCGAGTCATAACGTTATTTATTTATTTATTATTTCCGGCGTATAAGATGACTTTCTAGGCATGCGACTCGGTGTCGATCATCTTATACGCCGGAAATAACGTTATTTCCGGCGTATAAGATGATCGACGCCGAGTCGCATGCCTAGAAAGTCGTCTTATACGCCGGAAACTACGTTTATTTCCGGCGTATAAGACGACTTTCTAGGCATGCGACTCGGTGTCGATCATCTTATACGCCGGAAATAACGTTATTTCCAGCGTATAAGATGATCGACACCGAATCGCATGCCTAGAAAGTCATCTTATACGCCGGAAATAACGTTATTTCCGACGTATAAGATGATCGACGCCGAGTCGCATGCCTAGAAAGTCGTCTTATATGCGACTCGGCGTCGATCGTCTTGCGACCCAGCATCGAACTCGAGGGTCGTCTTATACGCCGGGTCGCCTAATACGCCGGCATATACGGTAGTATACTTAGATTTCAGTAAGGCATTTGATAAAGTAGACTACAACCTACTCCTTGGTAAGCTAGAAAAAGGTGGAATAGACAACATCACCACCAGATGGATCTGTAGCTGGCTGGCAAACTGTACTCAACGAATAATCCGCAATCATCCACATGGAGAGAAGTAAGCAGTGGGGTCTTAGGCCCAGTACGCTTCAATATCTTCATAAATGACATAAATTTTTTCCAAGCATATTTTTAAAAAGTAACCATGCGAAACTGCAGTTCTTGATTTTGAAAGGAAATTAAAACTAAAGGTAGTTAAACATGGATCTTGGAGTTCAAGAAATTGAATTTTAATATAGTCAGATCAGCAGGATTCTGTGGCAGCAGAGGCTAATAGGAAAAGGAACTCAAATTGGATGTGAGTGCCTAAAGAAGAGAATATTAAAAGCACAAATTGCAAAGGTCCCCCCCACCCCCAGAGGTATTATTACCAAGGTGGTAGGTATCCTGTATTTAAGCACATGTCTATATTTGTCAACTTTCACTC